ATATTTTTGATTTGAAATGTTGCTACTGATTCGATGATCGTTTAAGGTCAGTCGATATGCGGGATCATTTGATCACGTGATGGAAACAACCACAGCCGGAATCACAATTCAGGCACCACAGGTCGAACATTGAATTTACGTTATTATGCTTTCGTTTTTGGTTATTGGTCGTTTGCGTGCAGTGAACAATCTCGTGATAGTATTCTAAAATATGAATTCCTCGAGAGATAGAAAAGACAGTCTAATATGCACATATGAAATTTCTTGGAGAGCTGTTAGGCAATCCGATAACCATATGCGCACTAACCTTCATCCAAAAAGCAAAAGAATTGGAACAATTGTCACTTCAAGTCATTTTAGCTGGACATCCATACGGTTGCCGCCGGTGGTGGATCTAGGCTATTTTTCCGTTCGGGACTCTTCGTCGTCGGTCCGGAATCAGCAGGTGCATCGCCCGGTCCTATTTCATATCGCAAGAATGGTTTCTTGGCGGTGACGGATGCGAATCTTGTTCTCGGACGAATTATTCCCGAGTTCTTCCCGCACATATTCGGCAAAAATGAAGATCAACCTCTCGACAGGTAATCGAAATATAGGTTTAGTTCACAATCCAGTCTCGCCGTTCCATTTGACTAGGTGCATTAATAACTCATCTTTCATCCTGCTGGTCGTTGAACGTGCTTAAAAATCATGTAAAAGCAAATGTGCATTATCTTTGACCAATTACATAGCGTTTTTCCGACATGTTGGATCATTCTGGTGATACACAATGGCAGATGTGATTATGAGCTGGTCAATCGAATTCTAGGCAAGCAGCAGTTGAAGCGATGCAAAAGGTGACCGATGAAGCGAATGACTTCTACCGCAACCACGCAAACGTTTCAAGACCTGAAATGACCGTTGCAGAGACTGCATTGGGTTTTATTGATGTTGCAAATGAGACAATGTGCAGAGCGATTAGGTCGATAACACAGGTTAGTTATTGCTGTGCATTTTTGCATTGCCACTGACTCATTGCATGCTAGAAATGTTGATGGATAAAATATTACATGACGTAATGAATTTGTTGGAAACAATCGCAATAGAAATGTTCTCGATTTTCGCTGCGTAGTTGGTGTGTGTACAATTGAGAAGCCGCAAAAAAGTCTGGCAGTGAACACGAATGGACAAATAATCAATCGTAGAATCGTGTTATTTGCAGTCAAAAGGGCATGACACATCGCAACACGTGCTCGCATGTTTCGGTGGAGCCGGAGGACAGCATGCATGCGCTATTGCAAAATCTCTTGGTTGGTTGCGATCGGTCATTTAAATTCAGACGATTCAACTCCATTTTGGAATATTTGTTTCGAAGTGAAGCTGAATCGTATCAGAGTGCATTTCTCGTAATGAACTAAGTTTTTGGTGTGCTTGAAGTGCGATGATGCACTGTGTTAAAGTACATCTTTAGAATCGATAACCGCAGACAAAGCTGTTGTTAATTACGTGCGTTACACAAATAAATCAGAAACTAGCACGATAATTCGGCAACAAAACTAGATATGTTCAATATATTGTTCATTTCTAGGAATAGAAAGCGTATTTGTGCATCGCTATTCTGGCGTTCTCTCAGCATATGGGCTCGCACTTGCCAATGTCGTGCACGAAGCTCAAGAACCTGCTGCGAAAGTGTTCTCGAAAGGTGAGAAACGCAAATTTCTTCACAAATTTCAATGCTCATAGTAAGATATGAACGGTAAAAAGTTTCTTCGATGTGACTGATTATTCAGAAAACTTCGAATACATCTGGTCAAGGATTAATTCTTTGAAGCAACAAGGCCGCACTGAACTGCAAAAGAGTGGTTTCACTGAAGAGAATATACGATATGAACCGTTCCTCCATATGCGCTATGAAAGGTGAGTGATTCGAGCAATGTTCTTCAGTGGCGATCATTCAGCGATGGTTCCCGTTCGTTACTATCAATGTCACTACTTACTATATCTTTAAACTTTCAAACATGATATAAATTGATTTAAAAATTTCCCCCGATTAGCATGCTCGCCTCAAAACCTGAAATTCTTCCACAAAGTATCAGCTATGAGACTTTCCTCTTCCTAAGATGTGAAAAGCGCCGAAGTTATGTCAAAAGAAAAGTGTTCACCGAACTTTGTCGTGGATAGTTTTGCACTGAAAACGTTCTGGAATATGGGAATGGTTTCGGTAATTCTTAAATATAAATTAACAGAACCGATTGTGCGTTGATGTGTTCGTGTTCGTCATCCTGTGGCTTGTCGTCGACCAGCGATTTTGGCCATATTAAAGGCTACGAAGAAAGTTTTTGTGAGGCTTATCAACGCGAATTTGGTTTTGTCATTCCTGGACGGGCGATTGTTGTGGACGACATTCGGTTGGTTACTGTGAAGCCTTCAATCTCAGTTATTTTCGCCTCAAAGTTTACCTTGAATTGCTCAAAGATAAGAGTATGAATTGAAAGTGTTTACTGACGACCATTTACGATGAAATACCGATCTGAAAGCAGCGTGAATGAGTTGACATGAATGCATAGAATATTGCAATGAATGTAAAGCAACCTTTTTTAAAACTGCTGTGTTGGCATTCAGTGTGATTAAATTTTTAGCGTTCGATGTGTTGGAATTAGCCGAACGGCTGATTGTTTCACGATTGAGGAGGCAAGCCATCCGAATAAACCACCGATTAAGACTACACTGTTCTGTTGGTTCAAGGTTCCTT